AATTGCTACCAACTTGCCTTCCATCGAGGACCTGTATACTGCACGAGTCCAAAAGAGGGCTGTGAAAATATCTACAGACCCCTCACATTCTGGACATAAATTGTTTCAATTTCTACCCTCAAAATGAGGCTATAGGGCACTGCACACCAGAACAACAACAACAACAGTTTTTCCCCAAATTCCATCATTCTGCTAAACAACTAATTCCCACAACACTGTTGTATTACCTACTGAGACTGTATTACTATTATTCTTCTCCTCCTTCCTAGTACCTATCTCTTCCTACTCATGACTATAATCATGTTGCTTGTATCTTTAAAATTTATACTGTTTTATTTTTTTCTAGTATAATTTGATTGCTTATTAGTAACCTATGACTTTCACTAAGCGTTGTATCTTATGATTCTTGATGAATGTATTTTATTTTTTCTTTATGTACACTGAGAGCATATTCACCAAAGACAAATTCCTTTTGTCCAATCACACTTGACCAATAAAGAATTAAATATCTATCTATATATTTTGTTATTTTAACAAAAGCTTGGCTTCCTGAGAATGCCCCTGGTATTTTATAATAGTACATGTCTTACTGGCTTTTAAACATTGAGATAAAACACCGTTCCTCATCTTCAGCGTCACCTTTACAAGGTTTTCCTCCATTCATGGGCTCAGGATTGTTGCACAGCCGAGTTCTTTGCCTCTTAAAAGATGCGTCACAAGCACTCCACGGTGACCAGCAACTCCAGTAGCCGTCTACTGCATCTGGAGTGCAAAACAATACAATCCTTTTGCAGCTTTAGCCGTACAGTCTTGATATGAGCAAAAGAGTCTACCCATATTTCAGCTTTCCCCATCTTGATGCCCCCAATTTCTTGAATCTCGGGTGCTGCTACCACCTAGCCTGCATCAGTAATTTGGACTGCAATACTTACAGTGTGCAATGTGATGGAATCCCAACACAGTAGCCAGTGTGGTGTTAATGTGCATCATTGCAAAGAATTTTTTTTTTAATTTTCAAACACATTGCATCCTACTTTAACTTAACTACTATTATACTGTGTCTGAGTTGCTCATTAGTTTTTTTTAAATGTAATTTTAAATTCTGTGCAGCATTCTGTTCTGTTATTTCATTTTTCTAAGAAATTAATGTATGTATTTATGTATGTATGCATTTATTTATTTATTTATTTATTTATTTATTTATTTATTTATTTATTTAAATGTGAATGCATTTCCTATGATATTTTTAAAGATTTTCCCCAGTTGGAGAAATAAATAAATGGAGAAATTGTATTTTTCTGTAACTCGTGGCAGTGTAGTTGTCTTAAGACATTTTCTATGCAAACAAGTTAGTTAAGTTACTAAAGTAAAGACCCCCCCCCCAAAAAAAAAACCATGACTCTCAATTATTTATGTATGTCCTCATGCTGTTTTCTTTGCAACAGTAAAGAAATTGTTTCCAATTGCCTTTTTCTGGAATGTTTTTCCGACTTCCTGGTATAAACTACAACTATGCTATCTCTGGAGAAGAGCCTAATGCTGGGAACGATTGAGGGCAAAAGAAGAAGGGGACGACAGAGAATGAGGTGGCTGGATGGAGTCACTGAAGCAGTGGGTGTGAGCTTAAATAGACTCCAGTGAATAGTAGAGGACAGGAAGGCCTGGAGGAACGTTGTCCACGGGATCGCAATGGGTCAGACACAGCTTTGCAACTAACAACATGTTATCTCCAGTGATGAAAGAGAAAAAAAGAACAAAAGTCCCTAAGGTTAGTTTAGTAATGTTACCAAGCCACTAGAATTTCATTGTATAGTCAAAAGGCTATATTGAACCTTTAACCCTTTTAAAGATTGTCTATTGCATCTGTCATGTGTTTTGAGCATGGAAATGAATTCATATGCCTTTTCTCTTTGATGTAAAACTGCTATGTAAAATAAAATATCATTCTATGATACATAACAACATATACCATAATATTTTGCCCACATTTTTATTTGTAGGACAAGAGTAGGGAATAATTTTGCTAATTTTAGTTTTTGCCCAAAATTAAATATAACTTACCAGCTCTTTTAGCTGCCTTATTTATACTGTAGCAAAAGCTGAGACTTCAATATAAGGCACCATTATTTTTGTGCAAACCTTGTTATCTTCATGGGCAATTATAAGATGGAGCTGTTGTAAAAAAAATACCTGATTTGTAGTCAGGTGCTCGCAGCTCACAGTTGCTTCCATATGTTCCAGACTTACATACACAGAGGCATCCAGTTTCTGATAAAACTGGTTGAGCATTATTGGGGCACGGGGCACAGAGACAGGGGTCATATTTCCTCATATATTCAGAAAAGGCCTCCCTGAGATTAAAACGTTTTGTTGCAGAGCATGGGAAATTCTTCACCAAATCCACAATGGGGGAAACCTAAGAAAGAATTATATTCAATTTTTCAAAAGTTGTCCCAGCATATTTCTTAAAATATATTTCTTTATTTCTTAAAAAAAAAAAAACAGTTTAGGCTTTCTATCTGGAAATGACTGTTGCCTTCTTCAGGCTCAAAAGCATAACGTCAGGTAAAAGGTAAAGGTTCCTCTCACACATATGTGCTAGTCGTTCCCGACTCTAGTGGGCGGTGCTCATCTCTGTTTCAAAGCCGAAGAGCCAGTGCTGTCCAAAGATGTCTCCGTGATCATGTGGCTGGCATTACTAAATGCCGAAGGTGCACGGAACGCTGTTACCTTCACACCAAAGGCGGTTCCTATTTTTCCACTTGTATTTTTACATGCTTTTGAACTACTAGGTTGGCAGAAGCTGGGACGAGTAACAGGAGCTCACTCCGTTACAAGGCACTAGGGATTTGAATCACTGAACGGCCGACTTTTCTGATGGACAAGCTCAGCCTCTTAGCCACTGAGCCACCGCCTCCCTTGTAACATCAGAAGAGGTGTACAGTTTAATCATTACCACCTCCACAAATAAAATAAAAGAGGATATCAAAAGATCTGACCATTTTAAATAGTGTGGCATTCATTCAAAATATGTAGCATCCTCTTTTATTTTATTTGTGGAGGTGGTAATGATTAAACTGTACACCTCTTCTGATGTTA